TGCGCTGAGACAACTGGTGAAACAAAGAGTAAACTGTGATAAGAAAGATCATTCTTACAGCTGCAAGCTTTCGGTGGGACAAGTCATGTATGTTTGGGAGAGTTTCCCCATTAGCAGACATTGAGACAAGGATTTGTGTGCAAGTGGTTTACTTGGAAGATGAGCCCAGGAAACACTAGTAAGGGAAGTGGAGAAGGGAATGTAGCCAGTTAAAGATGCATTATCAAGCCAGCTACCACTGTGGGTGACTAGAGCTTAATCCCCTGGTAAACTCTGGGAATGGTGTAGAATGTGCACCTCAGAGCTATCCTATGGGAGAGGTGAGGGAGCTGAGGTATTTATACACCAACTCCTGTCAGTCATAAATTGAGGATGGCTTTTGGGGAATGTGACTTCCAAGGCTTTTCTGGCCTTCCCCACATCATAAAGCAGTCTTCTTTGGCTTTGGGGAAAACAAAACAAAACAAACAAAAAAACCAGGTGAAGAAATACAGATAACTGACAGTTAGAACCTTTTTCTGAGAAAGCTGAAGCTGTAAGACCAGAGGGATGTGCGTGGGGCCAGAACACTCAATGTCACTACTATAGCCTCTAGTGTTGGAGGATAAATTTGGTATCTCTTTCTTGGTTATGCATTCTTAACCTTACTGCAGGACTTAAGGATTAAGACAATCAAATCTTGGGCTTTGGCAGGATTTGTTTTCCAGTCACCTAATTTCATGTTTGGCTATTACATGTGGCTATTTTCAGAGGCCACAAGTCCTGGCCCATCTCCAGGGAGTCCCCTATAGTTGCCTCTCTGAAAATCCACTGTACAGGGTGATCTGCCTGCCAGAGCCCTAGCTGCCTCCTCAAGATGAAGGCCATATTCCCATCAGTATTGGCAGCACTCCCAGTATCCCTATTGTTCCAAATCCATATTAAATGGCATTTCTGTACCCCCGCACTATGGATTCCCTGAGGAGAAGAGCTGCCACTGAGAAGAGTTGAAAATCTGAGCTATTAATTTATTTGCTCAGTGTTCTAAAAATCCTTTGGAGAAACTGATGCTGTTCGCTCCATCAAGATTGGTCAGTTGAAACTGGTGGTGGAAGGGCATGGAGGCCCAGATAGAGGAAAAGTAAGAGTGAAATAAAAATTACCACAAGAACCTGGTGCTGGAAAAGCAGGTTTGCTCAAAGATGAGAAGTAGAGGGAAGTTGGGGCAAGATAAAGAAAGTGAGGAAAGGACAACATGCCCACAAATAGCAAGAACAACAAAAAAAGGTTTAAAAACTTCCCTGGTCAAAAAAGCAGAACTAGTGGACAAAATGGGAAAGAGGAAGAATGCTGAGGGAAAAGAGGAAAATGAATTAACAATGGTTGTTATTACATTGAACAAGATACATTATCCTGGCTGGGCATGGTGGCTCACACCTGTAATCCTAGCACTTTGGGAGCCTGAGTGGCTGGATCACCTGAGGTCAGGAGTTCGAGACCAGACTGGCCAACATGGTGAAACCCCATCTCCACTAAAAATACAAAAATTAGCCAGGTGTGGTGATGCACGCCTGTGATCCCAGCTACTAGGGAGGCTGAGGCAGGAGAATCGCTTGAACCTGGGAGGTGGAGGTTGCAGTGAGTCGAGATTGTGCCATTGCACTCCGGCCTGAGTGACACAGCCAGACTCCATATCAAAAAAAAAAAAAAAAAAAAGGCATTATCCTATAAAACATAGGATCAAATCATCCTACCATGTGGCTTCAAAAAGAGATCTGTTAGAAGCAAAGCATAGTCCAAGAACTCATCCAGTGAGGATTCTCTGAGCTCTAAGTAACAATTTAGAAAAACCCAGAAAACTACTGGAATTGTTGCTACTCAGACAGTAGTCTCTGGTCAGCAGCATCAGCATTACCTAGGAGCTTGCAGGAATGCAGAATCTCAGGCCCCACACAGACCTACCAAATCAGAATCTGCACGTTAACACAGTGCCTATGTGATTTGTGAGCACAGGAAAATTTGAGGAGCACTGAATTAAACAAAAACATTTCGGGTTGTCTCACACACTCCAGGGACAGGGATCTATCAAGGAACAAAGTGGAGCCAGCGGATCAAATACTATCAAGGTGCTCTGTCCCACCCTTGCCTCTGCTCCTATTTTATATTTGTTTGCACCCCCCACAGCTGTCTCTAATTCACTCTCCAGGCTGGATTTATCTGCTTCATAGGGCCATATACAGAAAACAAGGCTGCTGAGCGCTCAACATTCTCACATTACCTCTCTTTAAAAAAAAAAAAAAATTATCTATTTATTTATTTTGAGGCCAGGCTATGAGACTGGCTAATTTTTGTTCTGGTTTTGTTTTTTGTAAAGATAGGGTCTTACTATGTTGCTCAACCTGACTTCAAACTCCTGGGCTCGAGTGATCCTCCCGTCTTGGCCTCCCAAAGCGCTGGGATTAAAGGCATGAGCCACCACGCTCAGCCTCACATTATCTCTTAAATCACTGGTAGAGAGACTGATTTCTTAGTCTCAATAATAAAATTACTGAGGAATGTACTGATTGGCCCAACCTGAGTCAGATGTTCAGCTGGGAGGAGGGGTCATCTTATGGTGGGAACAAGGCAGATCCCACTATAGCCATATGGTTTGGGTTGGAGAATTTTGGAGAGTTTTGGAGAATTTTGGATAATCTAATTAGGTGCTCACCTTTCACCCCCTCTGAACAGCTTCCGCATTGGTGCATCTGGGAAAGTTATGACTTTAAAGATAGCAGCTCAGGTTTTCCTGGATCTTATTTAAATAAGACATTAAACAATGCCACCCTTGACCTCTGCCTAGGGGAGAGTGATCAGCAGTGCCTTCTTGAGGATCTCTGAATGAAGCAAATGATGTCCTACCCTCTGGTCACGCTTTGTTGAAAAGTTAAAGGCCTTTGATAAGCTTCAGCAGCCACAGAGTTGGCCTTGTTCTCATCCTGAGAGAAAGGGAGAGAGGGAGGGACAGAGAAAGGAAGGACTGTATCATTTCAGCATTTGTCATAGGTACTGGAATGTCCATTGACTATGAGCTAGCTGAACAGTTTGGGAATTGTTAGGGAACTTTAATTTTCAAACATGAATCTGGTCGCTTTGGACTGAGCTTGTAAACTATCACCCCAGGGGTAAAGTCATCATGATGATTCTGATGATTCTTTTTTTAAGCCAAACCATCAGGCAAGCTGTTTCTGTGTGGTGGTAACTTAGTGTATTGGTATTATGTAGAGCCTTCAGTGATGAAAAAATATAAACACCCTATACCCATGGAAAGAACTACTACTCCAGCAAAGATCCTCATAATATTAAAACAATGCTTAGGACACACTGCCATATCCAAAGGGCACATTTCATGTAAGAAGGAATTGAAACTGGAAAGAAGATTTGAGATTGGAGGGACTATTTTTTTATTATTATTATTATTATTATTATTTATTTTACTTTAAGTTCCGGAATACATGTGTAGAACGTGCAAGTTTGTTACATAGGAATATATGTGCCATGGTCGTTTGCTGCACCTATCAACCCATCAACCTGTTATCTAGGTTTTAAGCCCCACATGCATTAGGTATTTGTCCTAATGCTCTCCCTTCCCTTGCCCCCTACCCCTCGACAGTCCCCGGTGTGATGTTCCCCTCCCTATGTCCATGTGTTCTCATTGTCCAATTCCCACTTATAAGTGAGAACATGTGATGTTTGGTTTTCTGTTTCTGTATTAGTTTGCTGAGAATGATGGTTTCCAGCTTCATCCATGTCCCTGCAAAGACATGAACTCATTCTTTTTATGGCTGCATAGTATTCCATGGTGTATATGTGCCACATTTTCTTTATCCAATGGAGGGACTATTAGTACAGGAATGGTAGAGGGGTCTAGAATCCTGGAAATAGCACCTCCTCGGTTATTGTGCTTGACATATCATTTGAAATATGCCCAAATTGAGGTCTTTGAATAATCGGGCAGGACTTGTAGGTGCTTTGGGCTTTGCCCAAAAGTAATCACAGACAATTTGCACTTTTAAAAGAACTTCTAAAGAACAACATAGTTTACATAATAAGTAGAGTTGTGCCCAGCAAGGCAACCCGTATCAATGTTTTGCACAATGTTTGCACAACTCTACATATTATGTACACTATCCTTGTTGGGTTTTTTTTAATGCTTTTTAAAAATGCAACTCGTTTGCATTTTGTTTGTCCAAATTTGGTGACTGGTCACAGATCACTTGGTGTCCAACTGACTTTTTCATAGCCTTTCAGTAGAAAAATAGAACCCCCTCACAATAAGCACGATAACCTGACCTCTAAAATGTCAAGTTCTGCTGCAGTGGTGCCGTCATTATTGTCACTGAGGACTTTTCAATCACCATGTCTATGTTATTTGGAATTCTGACTTTTCCGGTGGGATCTATGGCATTGAGACCAAAGAGGAAACAGGTCAGGCCCCCTCCAGGGAGGATATCTGCTCTTACTGTTGTAACATAGCATAAAGAGTGTGGGACTCTACACTGCTGGCTGGACACTTCTCTCTGTTCTCCCCAGTGGGATAGTTAATAATGATGATGAACTTGGTGGGGGTGGTAACAAAATTCAATCTTGAAAAACAAACAACAAAATCCAATCACAAAATTCAGGTAGACAAGTGAAACCAATCTCTTGGGAATCAGATCTCTCCACTGACAAGTTTCTCTACTTTTAAATTGACCATTATGGATAAAATGAATGCTGAGTTCACAGAGAAGAAGAGAATTTGAACACTTGGTTACACTAAAGGAGAAGGTCCTTTTAGAACTAAATGGAGACATGTGTTTTATTTAAATTAAGGGTCTGTAAGTACCAGCCAGGGACTGAGTTGACAGCCACTTCTGTAATAAAGTAATAAATCATGGAGCTGGTTAAGGAAGCAAGAAACACCACATTCTTGCTTTGTTCAACCAATTAGGCAATAAGCCATCTGGGTCCTTTTGTTAATTACCACCAAATACAACGTACACAATTGAATTCAGCCTTTATTTAATTATATTAATTTATCCCAGCAACTTCAAAGACCCACAATGCCAATAATAAAGTTCATTTAAAAAACAGAGGTCTTTAAAAACTTTTTTTCTTCAATCACTAATACCCTTTACACGGTTGCCATCTGAGAATTTTTAGCTCCGTCTCAGTCTCAGGATTTAGGGAAATTTGTTTTAAATATAGATGAGTCTGAAGCAAGAAGACAGTGGCTAAAGTCTCTTCTCTAGACGGGATAATGAATCTACCTAGATTGGTCCAACAGAACTGTTTGTGATGATAAAATGTTCTATATCTGTGCTCGTCAATGCAGTAGACCCTAGCCACAGGTTGGTAGTGAGCATTTGAAATGTGGCCAGTCCAGTTGAGGAACTGAGTTTTAAATTTTCTTTGATTTTAATGGATTTACATTAAAATGGCCACATTTGGTTAGTGGCTACCATATTAGACAGCACAGGTCCAGAGTGTGTTCTGAGGAAGGAGAAATGCAGTGAATCCTTGACTAAGCAGGTAGACAATGAATACGCAGTTATGATAGGTATTGTTTGGAAACACTGCTCTTCCCGCCCAGTTTTTCTTATTTGAAGGATACTGTGTTCTGAGACAGCCCAAAGGAAATTAGCATCTTTTAGGGGAAGATTTCTAAGCTGACCATGTGGAAAGGTAGGTAACTCCATCTGGGGAAAAATGAATATGAATGGTGTTTATTAAATAGCAGAACCCATCCCATTCGGCAACTCTTATGGCTGAACTAGGTAAGCCAAGTCATAGCAAGGAAAGTCATTTAGCTCTTACTAGTCTCAGCTGAGCTCCAGATGAGCCGTGTTCTTCCCACACTCGTGGACATTCAACCTGTGGACACATTTGGGGGTTCCAGACAGTTATACGGGCTCAGAGATGGCCCTGTCAGGTCTCATGGACATTAACACCCAAATGTTACCTGTCATAAGAATTTTGGCTCAGGCTCTGGCATTTTCCTCCCAGGGAGGTTTGCTTTTTTAGAAAGGTTGCTGTTTCTGCTCCAGTCAGTGCAAACCCTGTAACAGGGCATCAGGAGAGTTTCTCTTTTTCTTTTTTGAGATGGAGTCTCACTCTGTCACCCAGGTTGGAGTGTAGTGGCACGATCTCAGCTCACTGCAACCTCTGCCTCCTGGGTTCAATCCTCCTGCCTCAGCCTCCCAAGTAGCTGGGATTACAGGCATGCACCACCATGCCTGGCTAATTTTTGTATTTTTAGTAAAGACAAGGTGTTGCCATGTTGACCAGGTTGGTCTCGAACCCCTGACATCAGGTGATCCGCCCACTTCGGCCTCCCAAAGTGCTGGGATTACAGGCATGTGCCACCGCGCCCGGCAGGAGAGTTTCTCAACTGTGAACACCTTTGTTAACGGGAATGCTCAAATTGTGCTGATACTTCCAACACCAACGACTAAAGAGAAATTGATTGCAAGGGAATCTGGTTATGGTTATGGTTAACCAAGTTAGAGAAGAGTTAGGGCAGGGGGAATAGAAGTAGATTCTCAGTAGGAAGGAAATTCTCCATAATGGGGGAAATTCTCATTAACATGAAAATGTCTTTTCCCAGGTCTCTTGATGCCTTTTAGCTGCTGGGTTGAGCTGGCGAATTGGGACAAAGTGCTCTCGCATCTTCTCTCCAATCCTAAACCTCCTCTCTGCAGCTTCCTTTCCTTCCTTTGAGATATGGCTCAACAAATGAACACAACATTTGTGCTAATAAACCCAATTCAGAGTTTTTGGAATGTCAGGCCATTACATCCGCTTCACTCTTTAATTTCCATGGTTGGCCAAACAGACAGTCCAAGTTAAGGCCATTTGAAGACAAATAAATTGATCCATTGGATTTATGTATCCTGGAGGTGCTGCCAGATAATGTCCAGGCCAGAGAGAAAGCAATTGTTAAGTGCTCAGTGGAGAAAAACAAAGAATCTTCTGTACTATGTAATAATCATTTCCCAGTGATGAAGACAACAGTATAATGGATCAACTTTTTTTTTTTTTTTTAAAAAGCAGCCAGCAGACAATGAAATAAGGTGTGAAAAGGGGAAACTTCCTATATTCTTTCACAGAGCCTTTTTCTCTCCTAACACCAGGAGCACAAACACAAAAGGATCAGCTTCATGAAATATATAAGCTCTTTAAGTTCACTTGGAGCTGAACTGTGATGGCCAAAATTCTCTTTCCCTCTGACACTGACATTCATCGTTCATCCACAGCATTGACCTGGTCAAATCGCCACTGCTGGCGGGCTTTTCCATCACACAGACGCAGGTACAAATCTTTATTGCTTTCTTGCACCACAGCTTCCATGCATTTCCCAGAAAGAATGTGGACAATCATCCCATTCTAAAAGGAGAAAAGAAAAACGAAAAGAAAACCAGTCCCCCACAATCAGTCAGCAAAAGAGAATATTTTTAAGATTTGCGCTAATCATTAAGAGAATAACAGATGGTGAGAACTGGCCTGGAAAGGAATTGTGGTATTTTGATTAACATAAAATATAAATTAGGTAGCCCTAAAATTTGGATGTCACTCAAAACCTTAGGGGTAACTAATCCAATTATCTTTATTGTGGTTGTGTAATTGCATCATTTCTTAGAAAGTTCTGGTTAGTATAATTCCCAGAGCATGTTCAGTCTTTATGCTATATTTGTGACATTCGTTGTTATCACTGTAGTTGTAAATTTCTGCTTTCAAAACGATTTAATCCACTTTACCGTCTGTTAATCCTGCAGTTGGGCACTGTTGTTACCAGGCCGTAGTAGTAAGACCTCTAGGATATACTGAAGGCCTAAACCAGCCATGTTCAGAAAACCATGGCTACGCCCTGCTCAAAATCACCAGATTTAATACTGAATCCAACCTTCTCCTTTTCAAGAAAAAGTTAATTTCCTCATGAAAAGTTAAACAACCTTAACCAGCAATGCTGAAAATGCCTATTTATGTATTCATCCTTCATTTATTCATTTTTGAGATTGATACGGTTTGGTTCTGTGCCCCCACCCAAATCTCATGCTGAATTGTAATTTCCGGTGTTGGCAGAGGGGCCTGGTGGGAGGTGATTGAATCACAGGGGCAGACTTCCCCCTTGCTGTTCTGTTGATAGAGTTCTCACACGATCTGGCTGTTTGGAAGTGTGTAGCACCTCCTCCTTCGCTCTCTCTCCCCTGCTCCGCCATGTGAGGACAGGGCTTGCTTCCTCTTTGCCTTCTGCCATGATTGTAAGTTTCCTGAGGCCTCCTCAGCCACGCTTCCTGTACAGCCTTTAGAACTGTGAGTCAATTAAGCCTCTTTTCTTCATAAATTACCCAGTCTCAGGTATGTCTTTATAGCAGTGTGAGAACAGACTAGTATAGAGATCATAATACTACCCCTTTAAAGTACACAAGTTGGTGGATTTATAGTATATTCACAAAGTTGTGCAACCTTCATTCCTATCTAATTCCAGAAAATTTTCATCACTGTAAAAAGAAACCTACTACCCATCAGCAGTCACTCCCCACTCCTCCTTCCTCCCAGCAACTAATTATTAATCTACTTTCTATATTTATGGATTTTCCTATTCTGGACATTTCATATAAATGGTACTACATAAATGTGGCCTTTTGTAACTGGCTTCTTTCACTTTGTGTAATTTTTTTTTCCAAGATGGAGTCTTGCTCTGTTGCCCAGGCGGGAGTACAGAGCCGTGATCTCGGCTCATTGCAGCCTCCATCTCCCAGGTTCAAGCGATTCTCCTACTGCAGCCTCCTGTTTAGCTGGGATTACAGGCACGTGCCATCACGCCTGACTAATTTTTTGTATTTTTAGTAGACATGGGTTTTCACCATATTGGCCAGGCTGGTCTCAAACTCCTGACCTCAAGTGATCTGCCTACCTTGGCCTCCCAAAGTGTTTGGCACTGTGTGTAATATTTTTAAGGTACATCCATGCTGTACCACAAAACTTTTTCTTTCTTTTTTTATTTGTATTTTATTTATTTATTTACTTTGAGACAGAGTCTCTCTCTGTCACCCAGGCTGCAGTGCAGTGGCAGGATCTTGGCTCACTGCAACCTCTGCCTCCTGGGTTCAAGTGATTCTCCTGCCTCATCCTCCCGAGTAGCTGGGACTACAGGTGCGCACCACCACACCTGGCTAGTTTTTGTATTTTTAGTACAAATGGGGTTTCACCATATTGGCCAGGCTGGTCTCGAACTCCTGACCTCGTGATCCGCCTGCCTCAACCTCCCAAAGTGCTGGGATTACAGGCGTGAGCCATTGCGCCTGGCCTCTTTTTTAAAAAAAATTGTGATAAAAACACATAGCAAAACTTTTACCATCTGAGGCATTTTTAAGTGTAAAGTTTAGTAGTTGATGTAGTTTGGATGTTGGTCCCCACCTAACTCTCATGTTGAATTGTAATTCCCAGTGCTGGAGGTGGGGCTTGGTGGGGGATATTTGGATCACGGGGACAGATCCCTCATGGCTTGGTGCTGTCTTCATAATAGTGAGTTCTTGAGGATCTGGTCATTTAAAAGTGTGTAGCATCCCCTCCCCCACTCTCTTTCTCTTGTTCCTGCTTTCACCAGGAACAATATGCCTGCTCCCACTTCATCTTCTGCCATGAGTAAAAGCTCTCTGAGGCCTCCCCAGAAGCAGATGCCACTATGCTTCCTATACAGCCTGCAGAACCATGAGCCAATTAAACTTCTTTTCTTATAAATTACCCAGTCTCTAGTATTTCTTTATAGCAATGCAAGAATGGCCTGATAGGCCTGGTGCGGTGGCTCCCACTTGTAATCCCAGCACTCTGGGAGGCCGAGGCGGGCAGATCACCCGATGTCAGGAGTTCGAGACCAGCCTGGCCAACATGGTGAAACCCTGTCTCTACTAAAAATACAAAATAAGCTGAGTGTAGTGGCAGGCACCTCTAATCGCAGCTTCTCAGGAGGCTGAGGCAGGAGAATCGCTTGAACCTGGGAGGCGGAGGTTGCAGTGAGCCGAGATCCTGCCATTGCACTCTAGCCTGGGCAACAAGAGCGAAACTCCATCTTAAAAACTAAAAAAAGAATGGCCTAATACAGTAGTGTTAAATATATTCACATTGTTGTGAAACAGATATCCAGAACTTTTTCATCTTGTAAAACTGGAACTCTATAACCATTAATAAACAAATTCCCTTTTTCTCCTCCTCTACCTGCCCCTGGTAACCACTGTTTTACTTTCTGTTTCTATTAATTTGACTACTTTAGATATCTCATATAAGTTGAATCGTAGTTTTTGTTCTTTTGTGACGGGTTTATTTCACCAGCATAATGTCCTCAAGATACGCCCCTGTGGTAGCAGGTGATAGGATTTTCTTCCTTTTCAAGGCTGAATAATATGTGTATGCCACATTTTGTTATCTCTTCATCCATGATGGACACCTGGGTTGCTTTCACTTCTTGGCTATTGTAAGCAGTGCCAGCATGAATAGTACCTCATTCCTTTTGCTGGCTGAATGATAATGACTTTTAAAAGTATTATTTATTAATGTCTGAAATATGCTGGGTGTATCTTACTCCCTAATCTTTTACTTGTTATTTTTAAATGCTGTTTCTAAAGTGTATCTTATTCATAGGACTTGCCTAGAAAAAATCCTTTATGATCATTTAGAAAGGACCTTAACTTGCCTTATAAAACTTCCTTGAGTCCAGGCACAGTGGCTCACACCTATAATCCCAGCACTTTGTGAGGCCCAGGCGGGCGGATCACCTGAGGTCAGGAGTTCGAGACCAACCTGGACAACATGGCAAAACCCTGTCTCTACTAAAAATATAAAAAGTAGCCAGGCGCAGTGGCTCACACCTGCAATCCTAGCTATTCAGGAGGCTGAGGCACAAGAATCGCTTGAACCTGGGAGGCAGAGGCTGCAGTGAGCCAGGATCGCACCACTGCACTCCAGCCTGGGTAACAGAGTGAGACTCTGTCTCAAAAAAAAAAAGACTTCTTTGAGCATGTGTGGGCCCATTGAGTCCTGCCTTCAGTTGGTCACCAAAGCCCCAACTGCTTTGTTCTCAAGTGTTTATTGTGAATTTAGCTTAAGTTTTCTATCATACGATTTTCTTCTTTCACAGCCTGTTTTAAGAGTACCAATGCACAGGATTCTGCTTAGTCATTTTATCCTTTTTATTCCCCAGCAGCAGTTGAAAAAAAGAAATTTTTAAAAGATGTGTATTTATTTGTTTGTATGTTAATACCCCAACTCATTTCAGGAAGAATTGGAAGTGGAGAAAAAGCTGTGTATGGACACAGTGTTGATATTGTCATCTTCCCATCCCGATTCTGTATATGGGACCTGCCCACTCTCCCTAAGTACTGACATTCCTCCTATTTCTGGAAAGGATCTATAGTTTCTTTTCCCCAGGATAATAGGGGTCAAAATTTTACGAAAATGATGAAACACTTACAGTGGAATTTACATTAAAAGGAAGAAAGTGGTATCTATATATCTATATATTTACATCTACATCTATATCTAAAGTTTCTTAGTGGGTGGAGGGACTTTGAATTGCTCCTAGAACCACACCACCAAGGTGGCTGAACGCTCCTTGTAACATGCCTCATTATCCTACTTGTGAACTCAGCCAATACACTTCAAAAAGAGGCGGATCCCTCTCTCTGCAATGACCAGCATCAGAGCTACACAGAGACCTGGCAAATCATTACACATGAAGATGCCAGTGGCCCAGCTTTGCTGCTGGGTTGCCTTTTCCCTCCGCTGAGGCCTTACTGCCCAGCCACTAAGTTCAAAAGCAGAGGCAAAGGTCCATAATACCTGACCTCTTGGAACAGCCCAGGATGCAGTGCCAACCAGCAGTTCCTTCTGACCAGCAGCACTACCAGGCTCTTTCTGAACAGATCACTCACCTCCTGGAAGTCCCAGTGCTGCTGGTGGATGGCCAGGCCTTCCTCTGTGCAGTTCTGAAGAATCACCTGCTCCTGCCTGACAGTGAAGCACAGGTGCTGTGGCCTGCCAAAATGAATCTCCTTCCTGCTGGTGTGCTGCAGGTACTGTGACAGAAGCAATGGTTGTTAGCGCAGCTAAAAAGAGATCCTCTCCAAAGCTGTAGAGGAGGTAAGAAGAACCCACTATACAGCTGAGGTCTAGGGGCAATCTTCAGATTCTATAGGGGTCAGCAAGATCACATCTCATGGTCAAGTCCAAAAACATGCTGCTAGACTAGTCATAGCCTCTAAAGTCCCCATATTCCAGCTGCTCTCACATTCATATTTACACATTCTAGCATGTTTCTCTGTTACTTTATTTACTGTATCATAGGTGAGGCCATAAAAAGTGCTGTGTATTTGGTTAGTATACTGTTGAAAGCACAGATGAGGAACCTCTCTGAAGCCCAGGTTGATGTCTTTCCGGAGAGCCCTGACCTGCTCCTGAAACTAATTTTCCTGCAGTTTGTTGTATCTGCTGGCTCTCACTCATGGTTATTGTCTCCTCCAGTGTTTTGTAGTATTGGATTGTGTACAACTTTGAGAGGGGCTTTAACTGTGAGGATCTTATGAACATTAATTGGAAGGAATGTCCTGGAAAGACTATTTTCTGTTCGTTTCTGTCAGATGCAGCCTGAACTTATTTTTACGTTAATTTTATGGCTTACAGACAGGATCAGCTTCATGGGCATGTGACCTGTGCAGTCACATGGGGCCTCATGCTTAGATGGGTTTAATACTCTTGGTTTAATAAATTTGATTTAATGCTCTGCTGTCACTGTCTTAAAATTCTTAATAATTGTCAAATTAAAGACTACATTGTCATCTTGCACTGGGCCCTGCAATTAGATAGTTTGTCCTGCTTGATGATTCCCAAACTACACAATTAGTACACATGTGAACCTAAGCCCATATTAGATGCAAGCTTGTGGTTAAAAATTCTCAGGGGAGAGTAATTTGTTTCCTACTCAAAGCCCCTGTAGGGGCAAGCTTCTTGCCATTTTTCTGTGGCAGGGGGTGGATATTTCTAGTCAAACTTTTCAAGGACAGGTTACCCTTTGAAGGTCAAAGCTGGCTTGCTATGGGAGTTTCATTTCTGACTTCTCATCTCTCATGGGCTAAGGTGGGCTCTCGTCACTTTTCCCTTGCATGGAGCCAACAGCTGTAGATTCCTGAGGCTGGCAGTAACCATTCCCTCACACTTGGTAGGGCAGCTTCGCCCATGTCCAATTCCTCTACTTTCAGTTGCCTCTTGTTTTTTGACCCCTAGAGGTTTCCCTTTCTTTCTTGTAAACTCATTTATTCATGAAAAAGGGTGTTTCATATTTTTTTATCCAGCATATCTTACCTAGGTGTTTATAGGGAAGGGCTTTCATCTTATCTAGTTTACAATATTGCAGGATCCTAAAGTCCTTACTATTTAAAAAAAAAAAAAAAAGAACAAGAAAGCTAATATTCCTTTTGCATGGAGGCTGTATTATTCTTTTGTTTCTTTATTTTTTTTTTTATTCTTCTTTTTCAAACCCAAAATAATCTCTGTAGAGGCTGCATTATTCTTAACTGCAGGTGAGGAAACCAAGATTTAAAGAAGCCTGCCAGGATCACACAGCTAGAAAATGAGGGAGCTCAGATTCAAACCAAGCTATGCCTGACTGCAAAGCTAGAACAAATTTCACCCTACCCTGTGGCTTCCTCACTCAGCACTTGATGTTTATGTCTGTATCCCTTGTGCCAGGTGTGAAAGCCTATCAGTATGTCCTAGGAGATTGGTAAAGGGCAGAGCCAAAGGAGGCCGGATGGATCCTGAGCATCTCCCTCCCACATGTTCTATAGGCCCACAGCCTGCCCCCAGGAACCCGGGGCCTACACTGCCAAGCCCAGCCTCAGCCAGCCTTCCGTGCAGGGCTGGGCCACAGACCCTCAGAGAGATGCTGTCTTTTGCCCCCAGGATCTTTGATTCTCATCCAGTGAATATCTCCAGGAAATTATACTTTGATGTTTGTTTTTATTAGGGGCCTTTGGGATGTGATAACTTAAAAGTCCCTATCACAGCCTGAAAAGAGAGAGACTTGGGGGACAAGCTAGGCTTTCTAGGTTGTCATCCAGTTGTGAAAAGAAGTGGACCTACCAGCCCACATCTAGTGTCGGCAGAGGATTTCTACCACTTTGGGCAGTTACTCCATGATGAAAATTCTGAAGAGAAGTATTACTCCTAAGATATAAGGAGACCTTCCTAATGACCAAATGGTGCTGGAGGCTGGAATGACCCTGTTGCCTCTAGATCCTTATCTTGATATGATTACCTTCTTCAGTCCTCGGACAATTGAACCCTGCCTGAACCTTGAAGGCTTCTGAGTTTGCAATCCCTGGGCTAGTGACCCTACACCTCAGTTTTCTCATCTGTCAAATGAAAAGTTTGGCCAAACAGCCTCTCCATTTCCCTTTAGCTAAGATGCTTTTATTTTCTGACAATGGCCTATGTCTGTGCTTACAGATGGAGGTGAGGTGAGGAGAGCTGTGATGGGTCATTACAGTGAGGGACCATGGCAGTCCAGGGACATGGGACCACAGAAAGAAGATATCTCAAAGGAAAGTAGGGGGCATCCCAGAAAAATGTCACCCACTTTCAATTCTTCTTGGGCTATGATTCATCCTGAGAAGTCTGACTACTCACCTGTTGCTGCCGGCTGTCACTGCAAGGAGCCAACACCATGGGACAGTCCAGGAGGTTCCCTTCTGCTTGGCAGTCTGCACAGAGCCCAAGTCCAGTGTTGTGGAGCTGAAAGTGGACACGTGGGATTCACTCCACACAGGAGTGAATTCCAAATTCCACCCTCGGTCAGGCACCATTCCTTTGCTGTATTCTCTGGAGTGTAGCCCAAGGTACATTGTTCAGGCCACAACAATGGGTGTGGTCAAGCTGAAGCCACTGACCCGAAGGGACAGGCCTCTTGAAGGAGGTGCCTTAGGGCGGGTAATGGAGCAAAACCCAGCCACCTTCTTCAGACTGGCATGGAGGCACAGGATGGACCCAAGGCCTCTGAGGCCCTGCGAAACTGTGAATGGTTGACCAGGGATATGAAACAGCTGAACATCTAGTTGTTGTCTTGGGAAGCTTCCCTCTCCCTCCCCATCTTCCCTGGGTCACGCCTTGCCTTTCCAGAGAACCTGGGCCTGGGTTCAGATGGGTACAGCTCAGGGTAGACATTAGCCAGAAACCAGTGGAATGTCCGACAACTCAGTCTCCTTTGCAGCTGCAAGCGTTCCATACAGTCTGGCTTCTCAACCTGGGGAGGAGAAAGCACAAGCAGGATGATGAAAGCTTGTCTTGCCCAGAATTCACATGGTTGGGGATGGAGTGGCTGGGAATAAGCTGAAGGATCAGGATAGAAGGAAGGGGCCAAGACCACAGTTCTTCAGGGCTGCAGTGGGGAGGGTCATGTGTTGGGAGAAGAAGGTCTGGAAGGGACAGAATAGCACAGATCTTCCCTACAGAGAGCTGTGGAACCAGCAAGACTGTAAGTGATATCAGCCCCTTCCCACACTCCCTCAAATCTCCAGTCTATAAAGACTATGATAAGCCAGGAGTGGTGGCTCACTCCTCCATCATTTTGAGAGGCCGAGGCTGGTGGATCACTTGAGGTCAGGAGTTCAAGACCAGCCTGGCCAACATGGTGAAACCCTATCTCTACTAAAAATACAAAACATTAGCCAGGTGTGGACCTACCAGCCCACAGCTAGCGTCAGTGGAGGATTTCTACCACTTTGGGCAGTTACTCCATGATGAAAATTTTGAAGAGAAGTATTACTCCTAAGATATAAGGAGACCAGCTACTCGGGAGGCTAAGACAGGAGAAATCACTTGAATCCAGGAGGCAGAGGCTACAGTGAGCCAAGATCGTGCCACTGCACTCCAGCCTGGGCGACAGAGCAAGACTCCTTCTCAAAAAAAAAAAAAAAAAAAAGAGAGAGAGAGAGAGAGAGAGAGAGAGACCATGATATCGGTGCTTCAATGATTTTTCTGCAGAAATTGGCAAAATTGTGGGACTTTGCACCTAGGTTGGTGTAAGGAGAAACCATAATGGGCCTCATGGAGTCAGGAACTGACCCATAGACAACTGAGATGAAGTTAGCTGCGAAATCATGGGCTAGGGGTTGGTGCAAGGCAAGTATATCTTTCTTCACCTCTGGGTACCATTAATGAATCACTCCATTGGGCTACACTATCCCCTCTGTTTGAGATTCTCCTTTATGATACAATTGTCCTAGGATGGAGATCAAAGCAAATCCTTAACACTAGTACAAATTAATGTTTTTGGCTATATTAATGATACAAAGAGCTGCACCCAAAAGTTTAGTACCAAATCATGGATACTTTTAGGGAAGAGAGAGGTGACAAGGATGGGTTGGAATGACCACAGACAAAAAAAGAGAGAACCCTTTCCTGGCATGGGGAGAGGAAGCAAGCTGGCCATGTCAGAGTTCCCATTTGATGGCCTCTAATCTGACAGTAAGACACGGTCAACCAGGCTGTGTGAAGTGTGCTTGGTTTGGTTCTGTTTTCTCTCTCTTTTAGACCTCAGCTGGGAATGTGGTAAGTCTGTTGTACTGAAATTCTCTCTAGACACTTCTCAAAGTGTGATTCCCTGAGCATCTGCCTGAGGAATGCCCACGGAGCTTGTTAAAAATGTAGATTCCTGGGCCCTGCCCCAGAGACAATACAGTTGTTTGGGGTGGAGGCCCTGGAATCTGCATTTTAACCATTTCTCCTGGTGAGTCTTTTTCACACAAAGTTTGAGAAAAACTTCTCTAAGTCAGGAATTTCTTGTTTACTCGGTGTATTTACCCACCATGAAACCAAGGGGATCCATTACTTTTTCCTCTCAGTGAATTAGCATAAGTTTCTTGATGGCTTCTTGGCATTCTTTGTGTTTATTTGAAGCCTCCCTACATCCTTCCCAGAGTTGGACTTTGCTACCAAAACAGAAACATTTCTTCATGTGAGTTCTATCACCTTTACTTTTCTTGATAAAGACATAAACTGATAAATCTACCCAATCTTTGACCTTGAATGAGGGGCAGGCTGACAACGAACTTTCCCTTCTGTAGAATTATGTCTAACAGAAGAGAAAACAAGGAAATGTCCACGCCCCGAGCAGCAAAAGTCTGGCCTTGTCTTTCGGGTGCCCAGGATTTCTGTATCTCAAAATCCTTGTGGGGATTTTGGGGTGGGTGGAGAAATAGAAATCTTTAGGGCAAAATTAAATTTTGGTTATTTAAATTTAAAGTAAATGCATGCTATCAAATACCTTCAGGGAGGCAGGAATGTCACTGAAACTTTGAAATCAAAGTAAGTGATAGGACATTTCCAAAGCATGAATTCATGGAAACGTTCAAAAGAGAGAGAAATAAAAGGAGCCCTCTGCTAAAGGTCTTCTCACTGACCAGTAAGGATGCCATTCTCCTTGCAGAAGTCATCAAATGAACAAAATGGACATCTGTGAATCAGAGAATGGACACCCAAATGGATATAAGAAGAAAAAGGTACCTCACCTGTAGACTTTATGAAAGTAAGCCTAGCATTTATTCTCCAAAGCACTCTTTCACATTTCATTTTATAGTATACTCACAACAGTTAGTGAGTTCTTACAGGTTAAATGACTTTCCCAGGGTCAACAGCTTCTAACAGGTCAGAGTGGTATATCAGGTAGCTAGTCAGACATAAGCAGGGCAGGGGAGGATTTTCCCCAAGCCCCCAACCTCCAGGGACGTCAGGCTGCCACCAGGTGTTGGTCAGGCAGCTGTTAACTGTCTTTCTAAACCAATAATTTGTTGCAGCTGGCACCAGAGAAGGGCAGTCTCTCCACAGAGAAACCTGAACTTGGTGATCAGCTTCCCGATACGATCTCAGGAGTTGGACAAGTGGGCTCAAGCATGTGCACTAAGAGGTAAAATGGGGGCGTTTTACTGGTATATGACCTTCCTCCGGGAATGTGCAAGTGGTAACGCCCCAAGGGCGCATGCGAACAATTTCAGTAAACACGCTGGGCATGCTCCCCTCCCAAGTGCTAACAGGCCACTGCACATGTGGACAGCCCTCCAGGGGAAGAATCAGGGAAGAAGGGACACAAGCCCCCAGAAGTATGCCAGTGTATAAGACCCCAAGTCAAAGATCAAACCACACACTTGATCTATGAAGTCGCCCACTTGGCCCTGTTCCAAATGTACTTTACTTCCTTTCATTCCTGCCCTAAACTTTTCCTTTTTTTTTTTTTTTTCCCCCGAGACAGGGTCTTGCTCTGGCTCCCAGGCTAAAGTGCAATGGGGCAATATCAGCTCACTGCAAACTCCACCTCCCTAGCTCAAGCCATCCTTTCACCTCAGCCTCCCAAGTAACTGGTACTACAGGTGTACACCACCACACCCAGCTAATTTTTGTAGATTTTTGTAGACACAAGGTTTCACCATGTTGCCCAGGCTGATCTTGAGCTCCTGGAAAACTTTTTAATAAACTTTCACTCCTGCTTTAAAACTTGCTTTAGTCTCTCACTCTGCTTTACGCCCCTTGGTTGAATTCTTTCTTCTGAGAAGGCAAGAATTGAGGTTGCTGCAGACCCCTAAAGATTCATCACTGATAACAAGAGCCAAAGGTTGATCTCAGGTTTATAAATCTTTTTGCCATCCATCCATTCCACCAATAAATGTTTATGGAGCACCTACTACGTGCGTGGAATTTAACTAGGCATTGGAGATTTCAAGGTCAGCAGAATACTCTTCCTGCCCTTTTTGAGCTTGTAAGTTTGTGGAACATTTGTTGAGTGCCTTCTTCTTCTTCTTTCTTCTTTCTTCTTCTTTCTTCTTCTTTCAGAGTCTCGCTCTGTCGCCAGGCTGGAGTGCAGTTGTGTGATCTTGGCTTACTACAACCTCCGCCTTCTGGGTTCAAGCAATTCTCCTGCCTCAGTCTCCTGAGTACCTGGGACTATAGGCACGTACCATCATGCCCAACTAATTTTTGTATTTTTAGTAGAGATGGGGTTTCACCATGGTGGTCACGATCTCTTGACCTCATGATCTGCCCGCCTTGGCCTCCCAAAGTGCTGGGATTACAGGCATGAGCCACTGCACCCAGCCGAGCACCTTCTATATACCAAATACATCCCTGCCGCCCCCCAAATTCAGACAGAACTACAGAGGATAGCTTCTTTTGGACCTCCAACTATTTCTGGAAAAGTATGGTGTCTACATTTGAGAATTACTGTTTCGATGTTAGAGAGCTAAGAGACAAAAAATACTAAAAGGTTGGACTAGTTCTAGTTCTACTTCTGGTTCTCTCCCCACTTTTATTTAGCAACTCACCATCTCATGGGGCCTCGATTTTCTATTTTATAGAATGAAGGACTTGGGTGAATACAAACAAGCACTTAAAAAATCCTGCAATCACCATCTGGACAAGCAAACTGGATTTTCCCAAAAGCAGACCAGTCATGCTCTAAAAAGTCATGTCAGTCCCCAATTTCTGTAATTGTCTAGAACAAAGTATATATTCACAGGTACTTCTAATTGCACCAACCAATGTGGGAAGAAGGTTGAAGTTCTGTAAATAATTTGCATACTGTTGCATTAGGCTGGCCACAGCCAACATGCCATGTCCTAATGAGCCTGTCTGGTGGAAAGTTAGTCTGGCGCATCAAAAATTATGCCATATTTAACACTTCTTTAAGAATTCTTTATAAATGCAGTCTGTGCTAATGTTAAGAAAATGTCCTCTGAAAGCAAATAGCTAATACTAAATTGACATCCCAAGAGAGAAAAATAGCTGCTTTGGCCAAAAGAAACCCAAGGGATTAAAAACCACAGAAACTCTGTGGATCTCTACAGAACGCTGTAGAAGGCCACTTGCTCCCCATTGCTAATTGAATAAAGTCTAAACTGTTTAGCCTGACCCTCAGGGGCTCCAGAGTCTTCCCCCAACTCCTCTGGATGTCTGAGTTGAACCCGTTCAGTCATTCTTCAGATGTGACCTCCCCTGAAAAGATGTCTGTCATGAGCCTGTCTAGGATGAATCACTCCCACCTTTGTTAACATTATCTCTTCCAGAGGAGCTCCTGCCCCACCAGGAACCTGATAAGCATTGGGTATGGTTCTCTGTCCCCTGTAGGACCCACCCAGGGCCTGGCACAGAGCAGGTGCTTGGTTGACCTTTGTTGACCATTAGTAGCCATGGCAATGATGATGGTATTAATAGTAAACACACAAGCAGGGCTTACTCAGTGCCAGGCACTCGTCTAACATGTTTTGGATTTATTAACATATTTATTCATCCTAACAATGGAAGGAAAGCTTAACAAATGAGGAAGCAGAAACACTGAGTGTTTAAGTAACTTTCAGATCATATAACCAATACTAAAACCCAGACCATCTTGTTCTTGGAGTCCATGAGCTTAGCCATCAGACTACACAGCTTCTAGATCGGGGTCTAGAGTTGGACACATGCTTCCACTTCCCACAGATAGAGATGGAGAAGGAGACTAAAGAAGAACAAAGATGCTAGCTAGTAAATGCGCTGGGTCCTTGTGAGAGTTTTCCTTTCCATCGCAATGCCTTCCTGGAGGAATGAAGGAAGCCGCTGTTAGTAGCATTTCTCCTGTACCGGGAAAGGAGCCAATGCCACTCTGTGTAATAGTGTGACTAACTGACGGGGTCCACGAGGAGACTCTAGCCTGCCTAGATCTACCTTAGGAATTACTGTTGAGCCCTGGGATTCTGTGTACTGTTAACACTTTTCCCAGCTAAAGAAACAAAGATCCTTGAAGTTCATGGAGCCCTGACACAGTCCAGGCTCTGGAAGCTATTCCCACTTAGGGAAGGGGTTGGGTCTAGAATAGGGAGGAGGCAAAGCCCTGAGGACCAGGGCAGAAGGGGAGGCATTGGGGCTGTTCTGCAGGGCTTCCCTGTCAGGCTGGCCCTGCACTCGGGCATGTCCTTCCATTTAAAGTGGCTAGGCTTCATCTGTGGCATGCAAACTCACATCTAACTCACACCCCAGCAGCGTGGGCTGCTGAGGGGCTTGTGGAAGCTGCTCCAGAGTCCCCACTTACAGCACAGCAAGCTGTGAACCCACTTCCCACACTGAACGGCATTTACGGGTCACTCTGGAAGGACTGAGCTAAAAAGCCGCTGACCAATTGATAATGTGCTGTTTGTGGATGTTTAGTTAAATGTTTAAATTTTTTATTTTTCTGTGGCTTTTTTTGGACTCTACTTTTATATTTAATATGTGTTTCATGTCTTGGATAATTTCACAGCCCTGAGCCCTTTGCTCAGGATGAAAGGAGACCTGGCCTTGGAGACCTGGCTCATCGCTTCTCTGTGCCAACCCCTCCCCTGGCCCCAGGTGAAGGATCCCATCCCATAGATGTCATCCCATAAATGTTAGGGAGCTTCAGGCCAAGGCCAGCTGTGATGTCCCATGGAGAAGCCGGAGAGACAAAGGACAGCCTCACCAGGTAGAGGAGCCACTTGAGACAGGGCAGCTCGAGGGAAGCTCAAGCCAGAATCTTCTGTTTTCCCCTCCAGGCAAAAGAAAGGAGCCCTCCCTGGCCCACCTCCTGCTGCTGGCCCTGTGCTGGACACAGAAGCCCCACCTGGCTCTCTCCTTACCTTGCTCAAGGAGAAGGCCTCTGGGCTATGCCTGTAGAAGGTTTCCTTGAATGACCCCAGCCAGGTCTCAGCAATGCGAACCTTGTTCCTCAAGGTGGCCTCCTGGTCAACGGGGGAGGGGGCATCCTGATTTCCGTAGATGTGCCCTACCCGAGAGCAGGGAAGGATTTCAACGGAGCCACCGCAGAGCCAGGCCTGCCACGAAGGGAGAAGATAAATACCTTGGCATTCCGCCTTTAAGAACGGTGGGAAATAAGGAGCCCTATCTATGAGGGGCTGGCAAAACGCACAGGAAATCATGAGCACTCAATGTGAAGGTGATTATAGTCCTCAGTGTGGAGTAGAGTTTCCAGATTTGGAAGTTCTGGCCATGGGAGTGACAGGGTGAAGAGAATAGAGGCAGTTGTCCCAAAATGGGGACAAGGGGGCCATCCCCATGCAATTACCTGAATATGTGACCCTTCAAACACATGCAGATCCAGCACTTGGAGAGATGTAGCCTGTGAATTAGCACCCCTACTCCCCAAAGGACACTTCCTCAGGGAAAAAGATGTCCCCAGTGGTCCAGGAATACCTCAAAGCTTGTGAAGTGTGCTACAAAGGCACCAGGGGCTGTTTGTGGTAGAGACAGAAGCAAGCTTTCCTGAGACATAGTCTTTACTATTTCAAGAAATTTCCCTCTGCTCTCCCACTCCCAAATGGCTGGAGGTTACTTGGCAGGAAGCCTCTCATTCCACATTTGGGGACAAAGGTTAAAGTAGAAGCGGTCCTAGGATAAACAGCATATGAATGGAAACACCAAAACGGGGGTTCCCAAACTGTGTGCCAAGGTACCCCAGGGTGCCACAGCAAACTCATAGGGTCTGGTGTTTTTCTGTGAGAAACATGGTGACATCCGTTGGACTTTACGCAGAATATAAACTTCAGGTAATTCACACTTTCAGCATTAGATCTCTGCACTTTTGATGACAAATATGTTTCTGGGGTTGGGTTTTCAGAGGGTAATCTGATGAAAAAGCAAGTATCATGCCAGAAAGCAATGTGGAACAGGAAATGAGGGTGACTCCAAGGTTTGAGAAGTTGTGCGGTGCCCAAAAGGTGCTAAGTTTTTATGACAAGTATTAAATTGTTTGGACCAAACTACTCAATACACAGAACTTTGGGTATTTGCTTTGGACTATGGGTGCTGCGAAAAAAGTACTGAGATGCTAAGAGTGCTATGAACAGAGAATGTGTGAGAGCCTCTGGAATCTCTGCACAGAAGTTAAAATAACTGAGACTATGCCCATTCCTGGAAGCAGGTTTTGAGGGTCAATTTCATGAAGGCACTGAGAGTGAAACCAAGCTACAGCACAAGAGAGATGGGAAACTGTGAGAAATGGAAGGGTTGACACACAATACAGGAATGACTTGATAATTTTCCCACAGCCTCATTCCTTCCCAGTGATATTTCTAATGCCTGCCTTCAAGATGTGACCATACACACCACTCCAGAGATCTGACCTGTGTCCTCCCTTGGTCCAGAACATACCTTGAAAGACAGTTCGAGGTTTTCACCACCCCGCAGCGACATAAGAGTGTCATACGCTCCGGTGTTTTGGAAGTAATGTCTGTCCATGGCCACCACCTCTCCGGGCACCACAGGGCTCCTGGACACAGAAGACGGGCAAGACATTGTAGGTCAGAACCCAGAGCATAGCAGGCAAAGCTGGGGGCTGGGCTTTCCCAGGTGGGAGCTCCAGTGACTGAAAGAACAGGCTTTGGGCTCAGGTGGAATGCAATGTTTTTAATTGCAAGACTGGAGCAGAGCCATGATGTCAGAAATCCCAGTATTTGATGAAAACAGAGCTATTCTTGCTTAGGCCTTTTATACTCTGTTCTCAGGTACTGCTCCTAGAGAGGGCCCAGGGACCACATCTGAGGCTCCCCTGCCCTCTGGCTTGAGTCCCTCTGGAAAGATGTTTGGGAAGAAGGCCTTGGTTAAAATAAGGTACCCTGAGAGAGGTAGCACCAGGCCTGACACAGCGACATGGTCAGGCTCATTCCTCCTTTCTCTTTCTCACCCTCTTTTGTTTTCCTAATGACCATCCACCCTCTCCCCAATTCTATGATGAACCCACCAGGGACCCTGGAAGCAGCTAAGTCCCCACTGCTCTAGGGGAAAAATAAATGATTTATAAACACAGGAAGCTAGAAACCTTTAATAAGGGAATTCAGATCGTAATACCTCTCAGAGAGATTTTAAACAGAGAAAGATGTAGTCAGAAGGTTTTTGAAAAAGGGTCTCTTCATCTAGGAGAAACAAATTTTAATGCAGCCACACTCTGGGAATTTTTCAAAGTATAAATGACTAAGAGTTCAGATTTTTCTTAATTACTGAAGAAAAAGCAATGCATTAGCAAAGCTACTGGCCGCTAGGTTATAAAAATTCTACATTATACCAGAATACTAAAAACTGATGTTGTAATGCTTATTCAGTATAATTTCCAATTCTGCCACTCCCAATTTGTAAGATCTTAGGTGGGCTATGTGTCTTTGAGCTCAGCTTCCTCACCTCTAATTAGGGATAAAATAGAGTTTCGTAATTGGGTTTCGAGGGGTTGAAAAAGGTAAGCCATGTAAAATATGTCGCTCTGTGCATGCTACGTTTTAAATGCTCACTGGATTTTGATGTTACAAGTTCAGCATTCCTTTTCTGACACCTGTGGGGCCAGTGTGTTTTTTTTGTTTGTTTTTTTTTTTTTTGTTTTGTTTTTTTTGAGACGGAGTCTTGCTCTGTCGCCCGGGCTGGAGTGCAGTGGCCGGATCTCAGCTCACTGCAAGCTCCGCCTCCCGGGTTTACGCCATTCTCCTGCCTCAGCCTCCCAAGTAGCGGGGACTACAGGCGCCCGCCACCTCGCCCGGCTAGTTTTTTGTGTTTTTTTAGTAGAGACGGGGTTTCACTGTGTTAGCCAGGATGGTCTCGATCTCCTGACCTCGTGATCCGCCCGTCTCAGCCTCCCAAAGTGCTGGGATTACAGGCTTGAGCCACCGCGCCCGGCCCAGTGTGTTTTTTAATGCAGAATTTTTTGGACTTTCAAAGGGATATACACCACATACTACACATCACTCGTAGTGGGTTCTGGGCCGACACTCTTTAGTCAAATATGCTAATTTTGACTGTGAAACATACACATATTTCACAGTAAGCAGTAAGTGGGATAAATAAGGCCGATGCAGACACCCATGTCAGTTCAGGGCAGCTTTTGCTGTCTAATGATTTTGTTTTTGTTTTTGTTTTTTGTTTTCTGTTTTTTGTTTTTGAGACAGAATCTTGCTCTGTCACCCAGGCTAGAGTGCAATAGTGTTGTCTCAGCTTGTTGCAACCTCCACCTGCTGGGTTCCAGTGATTCTCGTGCCTCAGCCTCCTAAGTAGCTGACTTGGAGGGACTACAGGAGTGTGCCACCATGCCCAGCTAATTTTTTTTTTTTTGTATTTTTAGTAGACATGGGGTTTCACCACGACGGCCAGGTTGGTCTCAAACTTCTGGCCTCAAGTGATCCGCCCGCCTCGGCCTCCCAAAGTGCTAGGATTACAGGCATGAGTCACTGCACCTGGCCTGCTGCCTAATGAATTATTAAACAAATGCTTAGTTTTTAGAGCTTTTTGGATTTTGCAATTGTGAATAATGAACTGTGGCCTTGTATTTAAAATATAACATAGCAGTGAAGCTGGTGTTCTCAAGGGCTTGGCTGTCTGGGTTTAAATTCTGGATTCACCTCTCATTGACTTTATAGTGTTGGGAAACTTTTAAAATCCTTATGTACCTCAGAAACCATGGAGGCAGACAACCAACCCCACTGTGTCCTTTCAGAATTCCTGACCCACAGAATTCATGAGCTTAATAAAATCGCTGTGTTTTACACCAAGTTTGAGGTGGTTTGTTATGCATAAGATATCTAGTGTGTCTACTTAAATAGAAGAGTCATCCAAAAACCAAACATGTGAGAAGTCACTCATACAATAGGATATATTTGAGACCGAGACCTATGGTTCTTAGCATTGACCTGCTTGAATTCTTCCTGTTTGCTAAGATGGGACCGGAGGAATTCATACCGTACCTGATGAAAGAGCTGGGCCAAGATTCCATCTCAGGTTGCCACACTGGGGCATTAACTGATGCTATCTGGAAGAGCCTGGCAGAACTTTATGAATACAGCAATATAATGGTGGTAACACCTACATCTGGGTGCCTGGCACTCTCTAAGTGCGTTTCACATATTAGCTCATTCAATCTTCACAACAACCCTATAAATAAATACTATAATTGCTCTCAATTTACTGATAAGGAAACTGCGGCATACATTAAGTAATTTACTAGGAAACTGTGGAGGCAGGATTAGACCCCAGGCAGGCAGGCTGCAGAGTCCATCTTGAGGAGGCAACGGCAAAGCAGGTGTGAAATGGGGCCTCACCTGATAGGGCTTATTGGGGACTGGAGGGCCTTCCTCACATGCTCCGGCAAAGGTTCCCAATGGAAATCCAGCTTCCAGTCCAACACCCCACGCTGCAGGTCCTTCGAGGGGTAATACTGGAAAGTCTTCCAGTCAATCACATCTATCACCGGAGATACCACCCGGCTCCTGGAAAGAATTGTGGAATCAAACAAGGGACATAAAGCATTTACTTGCTGAGGCTGGAAACATAGTCTGTACATGCACTGCCCAGTATGGTGGCTACCAGACACCCATACCTAAAATGGGGTTTATCCAAATCAGGTGTGGAGTAAAATACACCCTGGATTGAGAATACTTTAGTATGGAAAAAAGGATGCAAACATCTCAATAATTTTTACATTGGTTACATGTTGAAATGGTAGTATTTTGGATCTATTGGGTTTACTAAAATATATTATTAAAATTAACTTCATGTTTCTTTTTATTTTGTAATGTGACTATTAGAAACTTTTAAATTACATATTGTTATGTGTTATATTTATATTGTTATATTTGTATACATGTGTGATATTTATATTGTATGGCAGGGTTCTAGAAAATGTTTTTCCATAAGGAATTGGGGTCCATTGCTTTAAAGAGCATGCCAGTACTTTTCTTTCTTCAAAAACCTTTCTTGACAGCACTGAGAGATACAGAGAGGGGTTCTAGGCTCAGCTCTGCTACTAATGAAGTATGTGATCTTGAGATACCTGTTATACCTCTCTGGGCCTCAGTTTCCTCATTTGTACAATGGGAGGTTGAACTACTTCCCACAAAGGCCTTTCTCAGCTGCAATGCTCTAGGACTGTGGCTCTTAACTTCTTTTGGGGTCCTTGATCCCTTTGAGATTCAGGGGAAAACTGTGGGCCACTCCTGAGTGAAAACTTATATGTCCATGTAAAAAATACTGTGCACGATGTCAGAGAGTTTACGGACCCCTACTCTCAGGTCTAGTTCTCCTTCCTCCTTGTAGCATAAAACTTGATTGGCTTGAGAAATCAGGATTTCCAAGCCCTGGAAGTGTCCCTACTGTCAACGCATGCGTATATGAACATGTGGTATCTATAACCAAAGTCCTGAATCTTGGTTTACTTGCTCATTTCCTGCTACTGTTGGTGATTTTTAGCCCCATTTTATTTTTATTATTTTTTTGCACAGGCTGGAGATATGACTGCAGAGTGATGTGGGAAATTGACATGGGTCATATACTTTTTAACTAAGTGGGTGTACCAGGAGCTGCTATCCACCTAGCCAATATCTCAATCACATTTTCTCCCCCTGGCCTGTCATGATAATTATGTCTCAAATCTGTGCCATGGAATGAATCAGGCCTGAACTTCAGGGTGGCTAGAAGGTATCACTCTAAGAGAAGTGAGATTCCTGGGAGGGGAGATACCAGCCACATTGTGTTTACACTACCATCAAATTCCATCTCTGTTCCATCATCTTGGAGAGAGCCAGGGTGGTCCCACGATTTCATTATCTGCTTTAATCTATGGCTTTAGGTAACTGATATAAGTGTAAGGAGTTGTGGGGTCTATATTTAGAGCAGGGATCTGAATATGCTTTTCCTGCCTCTTTCACATTGTTTCTGCTGGAAGGCAAGGGAAACATAATCCCTCTGGGTCTCCTCTATTTTGGGGGTACCCTGCATTGACCTAAGAAAACTGAGAACCTAGACCGGGGAGGAAATGAAGGCACCCAGAGCCCGTTCCAGAGTCTCCACTTACTGTGTAATGAATCAGGCAGATGGATAAATTTGGCTATTGGCAAAGCATTTTGTGGAATTTTGGAATCAGGAACTAGGGAATCGTGTGACTGAATTAGGAAGAAATGCATGAAATTTGTGCCATCTTCAGCAATCATAAAAGGACAAGAAAGGGACTTGCATTCAAGCATTCCCACAGTTAGTTCATCCTAGACCTCTGTGCTGTGTATTTATTTCTTTTTTTGTTTTCTTTTCTTTTCTTTTAAAAAAAAAAAAAAAAAAAAAAAAAAAAAAAAAAATTTTTTTTTTTTTTTTTTGAGATGGAGTCTTGCTCTGTCGCCCAGGCTGGAGTGCAGTGGCACAATCTCAGCTCTGTCTCCAGGTTCACGCCATTCTCCTGCCTCAGCCTCCCAAGTAGCTGGGACTACCGGCGCGCACCACAATGCCTGGCTAATTTTTTGTATTTTTAGTAGACTTGGGGTTTCACCGTGTTAGCCAAGATGGTCTTGATCTCCTGACCTAGTGATCTGCCCGCCTCAGCCTCCCAAAGTGCTGAGATTACAGGCGTGAACCACTGCGCCCAGCCTCTTTTTTTTAAAAAAATGGTCTCACTCTGTCGCCCAGACTGGAGTGCAGTGGTGCAATCTGGGCTCGCCGCAACCTCCACTTCTCAGGCCCAAGTGATTCTTCAGCCTCAGCCCCCCGAGCAGCTGGGACTACAGGCATGAGCCACCATACCCGGCTAGTGTGTGTGTGTGTGTGTGTGTGTGTGTGTGTGTGTGTGTGTGTTGAGAAACGGGATTTCGCCATGTTGTTGAGGCTGGTCTCGAACTCCTGAACTCAGAGTGATCTGCCAGCCTTGGCCTCCCTAAGTGCTGGGATTACAGGTATGAGCCACTGCACTTAGCCTGTGCTGTGTACTTCTTAACAAAGGAGTACAACATTCATTATGTTTCTCTTTTTGTTTTGTCTTTCTAGAGGCTCAGAGTCACATGTAAAACTTACTTCTAATAACTGTATTACCCTTGACTCCCAATACCCTCTTTTCCTTTCTGAAATCTTCTTTTTCCTCTATTTTAACTGTGTACAACAGTGACTAATCATGAGCCTCCCTGAGTACATTTTGGATAGAGATAAAGAATAAATGTCAATGAATGAAGTGAGGAGTGCTTCCTATTTTGGTCTTTATTCCTATGGACCATAGTGGTTGCCTAAGCAGGGCTAAATTACTGACTCAAAAAGGGTGATTAATTAAAATAAAAAACCCACAGTCCTCTATTTAGCTTTGTGGTTTTGTACCTACAGATGTGTCTGGTGTTCTTGGAATTCATGTAAAGCAAAATAGCGAGACTACCTCGTTTGACTTGGAAGGAGCTGGAAGTGTCTGCTTACTTCATCATTCCCTCACCTGTGAATTGAGTTTTAACCCTCAGGCAGGTACAAGGTTAATCCTATGTTAAGCCTTTCTAAGTTCCAGGAGATCAAGTACTTGCGTTTTAAAAGGCAAACAGAAGGTGTCAAGCTGCCAACAAAGACTGGCTCACTGAAATATGTGAGATCAACGAATACATTACTGTCCAGATATTCAAGAGCTAACTGTAGTTTCAAGCTTCCCATAACCTTTTACCACGATAAAGAATAAGCCCTCATTTATCTCATTCCTTGTTAATTCTCCTGAGCCTGGATGTTCCTCGAGGTCCATGATACATGAGCCATTTTGAAAGTTCATGCGTATTCTTGGTGTTTGTGGAAAGTCTCTTATACCAGAAGCAGAAGGCTCTGAATTCTCCCTTCCCAGAGCTCTTGCTGCTCAGGTGTGACCGCAGGACTGGCACCAGCTCTTGCAGCGGCAGATATGAGGACGTGTCATGCTGAGGGGTATGAAGTACGATGGTGGCTGGAAAGTTTCCTCGGGGCATCTGAGCTGAAGAAGGCTGCTCCCTCTGGGGGGCCAGGAGGCATCCTGACCTCCTGCTGCTCCTTGACGCTCGCACACGTGCACACACACACACGCACACGCTCGCTCCCCCACACTCAGACTCTCACATGCTCACACACACACACTGACTCACATGCACAAACACAAGGGGTTCTTACACTGCTTTCCATCATTTAATCCCTCAAAGGGCAGAGTGGGAGGTGTTCTGCTCCCTGCCCCACATTGCTTCTCCCCACAGCAATCCTGGCTGATCCTGAAGGACTGGATGTCTCGCAGATAGGGACCAAACCCATCTTCAAGACCCATCTTCAAGTAAGAGATAACTTGGTCAGCTTCTTGAGATGATACCATCTTTCAGCCCCTTTCAAGGCTGTCCCTTTCCCCTTAGAAACCTTCATCCTTCCGGGGGTATGGCTTCCACTGCTTGGCTTGGGTATGAGAGCTGGCAGTCAACACAAGGCAGCTGGGAGCTGGATACAACAGCTAGCCTTGATTCCCTTCGTTGTTACTTCGTGTAGAAACTGGCCATCAATCAGCACCTCCCAGGGCCGCCCTAAAATCACTTGCTCATAGGGAGACTCTGTGTAGGGTTGCTATGAACAGTTACAGGAGTTGTGCACTGTGCAACCCAAGAGAACACCTCTAATATCATCGTTACCGTAAATTTGCATTTTTATTTTGACAATTTACGGACAGTTGGCATTAAGATGTCTTACTCTAATAAAATCAGTATGTTATGACCAATTTTCTGAGGAATGGGAGTCAGGAGGAATGGTCATGGAGAAAGGATTTCTACCAATTCAAATAAAGTTGCCACATGGTTAGTAGGAACCTGCTAGGCAGGGACAGGGAACAAAGGCTGGTCAGCAGGCTCTGAATTCCTTGGCCAGGGTATGGAGGAGACTACGACTCTTTGAAATAGCTGATTTGTGGCTTATTGCACTGTTCATTCACCACTCCCACCCCACCTTTTTTTTTTTTTTTTTATAAGAGCTCTTAAAGACCCTTTTTTGTCTTTTGGGCACTGTGTCCTCATCTGGTGACAGAACGTCTCCTGACACAAGCCTTGGAGACAGCCGGGCCCCTTTCCTCTCCATGTGAGGAGCTGCACCAAATGGCTTCCGCAGCTTGGCTTTGCATGAGGCATGTGGGTAACGTCCCTGGGAGACAAAAGCACACGCTGAATGAGGCTGCTCTCCCTGCCACAGCTCACAGAGCATCACCATGTGGAGTGGAGAGAGTGGGACTCAGATACCAGAGGTGGCTTTTCTTCCAGATCCTCACCTGCCAAGGCCTACAAGCTGGACACTGGGGCCCAGAGAAAAGAGCGGACAAGAAGCCATGAATGAGGTGTGGAGAGGATGAAAATGTGGTCACATCACGCAGAAGAGATGGAACCCAAAGAGGAAGGCAAGCCAGTAACACACCAGGATCAGAGGCCCAGTGAGTGTGTGTGTGTGTGTGTGGGTGTGGGTGTGGGTTTGTGTATGTGTGAGTGTGTGAGACAGAGAGAGAGAGAATGAGAGACCAAGAGACAGAGAGACAAAGACCATGAGAGAGGTAGAGAGGCAGACAGACAGAGACAGACGGGAGGAGAAAAGAGGAGAGGGGAAGGGCACAGGAAACTAGAATATCTCTTAAGCACAAAGGGCTTCCCAGGGAGCCCCATTTTCTTTTTTTCTTTGTAACCTAGGACACTGAGGTACTGCCGTGTCATTCTCCCTTCCCCTAGCTCTGTGAAATGGGCCCCGATGTGAGAAGCAGATACGAGGGACTCACAACAGCAGGTAACACATGTCTCACAACCGGGGTGGGGTTAGGGGTGACTAATATTTCTCCCTGACCAGCTTCTCCAACTCTTAAAAAGAAAGTGTATACAATGAAAAGAGCACTGGACCCAGAGTCAGAAGACCTGACTCAGCTACGAATTATCTGCCCTTACACATCATGTCACCTCTCTGAGCCTCAATTTCTCCCCCTATAAAACAGAAGCTAAAATACCTGCCTGAGGCATCTCATGGGGGTCATTAAAGAAAGCATATGAAATAAGTCTGTGAGGGTTATACATACATAAAGTTTAATGATATTAATTACTGCATTTCTAAATGTCTGCATAAAAGAGGCGTAGAAAACAGCCCAGCTGTCAAGTGGCTGTGTGACCCTCAGGGGTCTCTTTTACTTTCCTGGAACTCAGGGTTCTCGACAGCCAAATCATGAGGTAGGACAAGAAGATCTTCATGGTCCCTCTGAGAGCCACCTGTCTGTGATAACAGATGGGAATTAGAGGAGAAATGGGCGAGATCAACTTTAGAGTCTGACTCCAGTGATGGACACTGCTGTGATTTCAAGATGGTCCTTTGCATGGAACACAATCAAAACTGGCAGCTTCAGAGGGCTTGTGCATTTTCTTTTCTTTTCTTTTCTTTTCTTTTCTTTTCTTCTCTTTTCAGGATGGAGTCTCGCTCTGTTGCCCAGGCTAGAGTGCAGTGGCATGATCTTGGTTCACTGCAACTTCTGCCTGCCAGGTTCAAGTGATTCTCCCACTTCAGCCTCCCGAGTAGCTGGGATTACAGGCGTGCACCACCATGCCCAGCTAATTTTTGTATTTTAGTAGAGATGGGGTTTCACCATGTTGGCCAGGCTGGTCTCAAACTCCTGACCTCAGATGATCCGCCTGCCTCGGCCTCCCAAAGTGCTGGGATTACAGGCATGAGTCACCGCACCTGGCCAGCTTGTGCATTTTCGTGTCCTAGTTCTTGTCCTAGTGCTGAATTTATGTATGTCTTCTTTTCTCATGAGATGTGAGTCAAGAGGCAATCTGTCTCATGAAACTGGGCAACATTAATCTGTCTTGATCTCACTTGAGTTCTGATTGTTCTTCTTTGTTAAAATGGAATGCTGAACTATTAACAATTTACTTTCTGTCATTTGAAACCGTCTCCATTTGGCAGGCTGGTAACTCCTATGTCTCTAGGATTCATTCCAATGTGGTCCAGAAATTTTTTCTTATATTTGATTGATCATCCCGAACTTCAGGTGAGATAATAAACATTCACCATGGGTAGGCGTGAAGGATAGAAGTTATAGGCTTGGTTCTAGCATTGATCCTATCTTGCTGGGCAGCATCATACAATTATTGATCATGGTTCCATGCTGCTACATGCCTACTTGAGCTCCAAGGGGTATGCCTGAGGTGGTTCAAGGTGGGCCAGCCACCAGGTTTCAGTTTTCCTGGGTGGGATATTCAGACTGAGGGTAATGGTTGACTAGACATGTTTAGGAACTGTTTGTCTTGAGCAAGGAAGTGGGAAAGAGATTGACAGTCAGATGGGGAAGGAGAGCAGAGAAATGATCAAGAAAAATGCTAAGATGCTTGTCTACAGGGTAATGTAATGCAATCCTCTCCAACTTCACATTTCCAAGGACTGGCCTTAGGTAGGAAATTAGGGACCCCCTATATAAACTGGGGAAACAAAGAATGCTGTTGAGTGATCACAGAACCTAACGCTTTCTTTTTAACGGGTAAGTAATCTACTGCCTAGTGTAGTTCAGAGACTTTTTCCCCACGTTATGTTATAAGCTTGATTAAAATTGCTGAATTTTCACCAAAGGCAATGATAGCCATAGTAAGGTATTACCCTTATCATGCAATTTAATACAATTTTAAGTCTTTGCAACCTCATAGAAGCTGTTCTCCAAGCCTCAGTTTCTTTATCTATAAAACAAGGTAGATGGACTGGAAGACCTCTAACCTCCTTTCCAACTCTAACTCCATATTCTTAAAAGACCTAAACATCTGAAAACCCAAAGGGAATAGATCACTCTCTGATGGAGACTCGGGAATTAATAGGTGGGTTGTTCTGTGAGTGGCTGATGCTGTAGACTATTTCTCCCAGTCCCATGTCTTGCTTTGCAAGCCCAGGGAATAAGTTACCTGTCACCAGCTATTCTGCTGAGGAGGGGCTCCAGCCAACCTGGGTGGCACTCGCAGTGGGCATCCATGAAGACCAGCACATCCCCGGTGGCCCTGGTGGCCCCCAGCATCCGGGCCCTGATGGCACCCAGCCTCTTGTTGCTCCTGAGTAACTTCACCCCCTCCAGCCTGGCCACATATTCGCTGAGAGCAGACTTGAGTTGTCCTGGAATCAACAGGGTTGTGGTCAATGGAATGACAAATGCCACAACCGATGAGACTGTGACTAAGATAATTGTCAGCATCTCTCTCGGAAGCTGTGGTGAGCACATGGGTTCTAAGAAACATGATTACAGTGTGGTTGTTGCTAAGATGTAAGATGCTTCCTTTGGTTGGGGTGGGCCATGATTCTCTGCAGTAAAAACTAGAGGGATGCTGTCAGAAAACCAGGAAAGGGGAGAACTTGCTAACATTCACCAAATGCAGCAGCAAGAATGCGGCAGATACTGTTGGTGTCTGATGTGGTTTGGCTCTGTGTCCCCACCCAAATCTCATCTTGAGTGGTAATACCCACAATCCCTATGTGTCGAGGGAGGGACCTGGTGGGAGGTGATTGGATCATGAGGGCAGTTTCCCCCATGCTGTTCTCGTGATAGTGAGTTCTCATGAGATCTGATGATTATATAAGTGTTTGACAGTTCTTCCTCCTCTCTCTCTCTCTCTCACTTGCTGCCGTGTAGGACATGCTTCCCCTTCTACCATGATTGTAAGTTTCCTGAGACCTCCCAAGCCATGCAAAACTGTGGGTCAATTAAACCTCTTTTCTTTATAAATTACCTAGTCTCAGGCAGTTCTTTATAGCAGTGTGAGAACAGACTAATAGAGTGTCCTACTCAGATTCCCTGAGCTCCCCTTAACAGTTTTGGTTTGGTTTGCATGTCCCCAGCTGCTGTGCGTGCTAACTGAAATCTGAACCCTTCTCTGGAGACTTACCTTGGGGTATTAAAGTGGTCTCTGCTGCAGGTGCCAGACAGTCATGCAGGATGCTGCCCCGGGCCCCAGTCATGGTCAATGACTGACCATTGCAGGGTCAAAAGCAAGGCAGACCCCGCAGTGCAGCCTGTGCTCCAGAGCTCCCCATGGGACCAGGCTATGGCTGGACTTCATCTGAAACCACATCTTTGTTCAGCTCTTCCCTCTGTCTCTTCTGCATCACCCACTCCCCTACAGGTTTCCCCTGAGAGTATACCCTCAAAAAAATCACATGCACATGACTCTCCATCTCAGGCCCTGCTTTCAGGAAACCCGACCTAAAACAGTGGTCAAGGAAGCCAAAGGCAAACGGGTCCATTAAATTTGGCAGCTGCTAGGAGATTAGTGGTGCTGGTCAAAGAGGTCTCATTGCAGTTGATAGGGGAGTCTGCAACACAATGGGTCCAGGAGAGAAAACAGGAGATGCAAAACTGAGATCAAGAGTCCAGACAGCGTTTTAGGAAGGTTGATTCTATAGGGGAAAGAAGAGAAAGAGGCCTAAGAAGAAGGTGATGAAAAGGATGAGAGAAACTTGTCAGGTTTTGTGTTTAAGATCAGAATAACTTGATTGTGTGTGTGTGTGTGCGCATGTCCGTGTATACACATGCCAAGAGGAACAAGCCAGTGGAGATGGAAGGAACAATGTGTTCACAGAGAAGCAGTGGTCTCCATGAAGTATTGGAAATGGAGAGTCCCCCCAGCCCAGTGGATTAAGATCTCCCCACGGACAAGGGTTGTACCTAATGCATCTCTTCTGCTCCAACCCTTAGTTCAGGGCCTGGCCCACAGTAGGCACTCGGTACATGTGCATTGAGCAGAACTGAGCCAAAAAGCAAGAATTTTCCCCCAGTTCCCCAGCCCAGAGGTGGCCTTAACTGTGGATGCAAGTAGCCTGGCTGCTTTGCTAGCTGGATCTCTGGGGAGGCTGGAGAAGGTTAAGGCAGCCCTGCCCAAGAGCCCCCAGCAGACTTTGTATACTCCTTCCCTGGGAATCTGTCTCCTAAGCACCACAGGTTTTCTGCAGGGGGAACAATGTCCTGAGCAGTGGAGGAAAGGAGTCCCAGTCACTGGGCTGTTGCAATTCTCACTGGTAAAATGCTTTGCTGATTTGTTACTTTGTAATTATTTTTCTGGTAAGATTGTCAGCCCTGGTCCACTCCCTAGAGAGGAATCTGTTAGTCAAGCTATTAACATTTCTGAACTTGCATGTCTGAAAAGCAGCCCCTCAGTGACGTCATTGGCTTTAACATTGCAAAATGTAACATATTCCTCACCATTCATTCTCCCCTTCCGATGTACTGACAGAATTTTGATGTTTCTTGGGGCAGCTAAAAACACGTATCTCCCAAGACTTCCTCTCACTGCTGGCAGCAGCTCTGGTAGAAATAAACGGAATGAGAGGATTCTGGGAAAACTATTATTTTACTTTTTTTTCCCCCAAAGAAGACAAACTGGACTGGCCTCTGCCTATCTCTTCTTCACCTTTTTCTATTTGAATATGATGTCCAGAGGTAGAGAAGCTCTGTTGTGATTATGAGGCCAAAACTACCCTCTAAGCATGTTGAAGTGGAAAGCAGATGAAGGTGGGTATCCAATGGCATCGTGGAGCTGTCACACCAATCCTGCATTGCCGCCCTGCAAGCTTTCTATACTATAAGGAAGAATAAATCTCTATTCATTGGTTAAGTCACTGCAGCAGGTTTCTGTTCTATGCAGCCAAATACTGATATTCCCACCAAACATTAATTTATGAAGCTCCCCTTGGGCTGACTGCTGGTCTCTTTAGCTATACCTCTAACCCTTGTTAGTATTATGTAGGACAGACTTCTAGCAAGAGAGCTTCAGAATAGACTAAGGAAGAACTTCCGGACTGCAATGGTTGTTTGGCATCCTCAGTGGGTTTTGAAGTGGGTAAGGGCTCCCATGTCTGAGTGGTATAGCACTCGGCAAAAGCTGGGATGATCCTCAACTCCTTCCTTCCAGAAAACAGCAGAAATACTGACTTCCACTTGTAAAGGGTCGTCATGGGCTGGTCATCACAAGCATTTTCTGATTTAATGATTCGGTGTGGGCATTACCACCCCAGACGAATACCCGGAAGCGCATCTAGCTGATTCTATCACACTACACTATGCCGTCATGACCATCAGCTTGGAAGCCCATCAAGGTGGCTCAGGGCAACCCGCAGCACCTTGTTCTGTCACAGTTTTCCTCAGAGGTAGAGTAGGGTTGATAAGCCCTGCCTCTCTGGGTGGCCAAGATGATTAAATAAAAAGTGTGCAAGGTGCTGCTTGTCTGGGATCTGGGTCTCGGCAAGCATACAAAGGAGAGGGACCTGCAGAAATGGAACCAGTGCTGGCCTTGGTTGTGGAAAAGGCCTTGCACCCCAGTGTCAACAGGAAATACGGGGCCACTGGATGGAGAGCCAGCCCAGTGGTGAGGGGCAGAAGGGGCGATGGCCAGGAGGGGGCAGCCTAATTGCTTGGCAGGGGATCCAGATCCCCTCTGGTGGGGCTGCCAGCTCTGGGGTAGCCCGTTTCTCTGGGGCCCAGCTCCTCCACTTTCCATACTCCCGAGGGGCACAGACATAACACAGCTCATCAGATGGTGGGGGCCGGACCACAGGTGTGCTCTTGGGCGGACCCTGCCCCACTTGAGGGTTTGGAGAGTCTCGGGGCACTTTTCCAGCCGACCCAGCCCTGTCCCGCACCTATTCATTAGTCCTGCCTAATATGCAGCCAGCTGCACCCAGGAACCCCAGGTGTTCCCAGAGCCTCTGGCTAATCTGACTCACTGCTATGGTCAGGCTGGGCCCATCCCTGGAGTGAGGACCGTAGAAAGAACTAACGGAGGCACCTGGCTATCCTAGCCCTTCTCCATCATTCCCCTTAGAAAAACACAAATGCTCAGCTTCCCTCGGAGGGTTCTGATCTTCCCAGAAGGCCAGGAGGGGTGTCCCTAGGTCATTTATTTGCGCCAGAAATGTAGGCCTCAGGCCCAGCCAAAGACTAGAGCAGAGGTTCTCAAAGTGTGGTCCACAGAAAACAGCAGCATCAGCATCACCTGGGAGCTTGTTAGAAATGCAAACTCCTCGGCTCCACTCCATCTCCAGAAACTCTGGGGGTGGCACCCTGCAGTCAGGATTTTAAAAATCCCACCAGGTGATGCTGATGCACACTCAAGTGTGAGAGCCACTGACCTAGGAGTCAGGTGGGGGCTTCTCTGTCTCCATCTTCCTTTAGGGCTGTCCCTAGTAGCGAGGTTCCTGTGAGAGGAAGCATACAGGCAGCTTCCGCAAGTCTGGCCTCTGGGCCTGACTCTGCTGCTTTTGGCTGACTCTGCTCCAGTCTGCTGTCTTCTCTGGGCCCCAGTTTCCTCCTCTAGAACATGAGTGGGTCTGTCTAGGCCATGATGAGTTAAGGACCGATACACACACGCGCGTATGTGTAAAGTGCTGCACCGAGGTCTAGGAGGCAGTCGGCACTCATAACAGGGCTGCCTTGTGTGATTCTTCAGTGTCTTGGGGAGAGGATTATTGGACTGGGTGGGGCCTGGGAGAGAGATCCCCACGGGACCAGGCCGAGGTGATGCTCCTGAAGACCCTCCCCAGGGCTGTTTCACCCGCAGGGCTCCTTCTCCTTCTCTGTCTTGCGGCCCCCACTGCCTTACTGGTTTCCCCTGGTGGCTCTTCATTCGTAAGTTACTTGCCCATGAATCCTCATCTGGAGGTCTGTACTTGGGGAGTCTTGCCTAAAATAGTTCCCAACTTCAATCTTTTGCTTGGGAACTCCACCCCCCAGGGGGTAAGGCTCACCCAGGCGAGCCTGGAGGAAAGCCATGGCTACCTTGCTGGCTGAGGTCGTCCACGAGGATGATCTCCTTCAGGAAGGCCCTGGGCACTGTGTTGAGGATGCTGTGTACAGTCCTCAGGAGGGTGGACCAGGCCTCATCATGGAAACAGAGGATGACACTGGCTGTGGGCAGGCTGTCCTGAGGGTGCTGCTGCAGACACCTGCAGGGAAGAGAGCCGGAGAGCCATGGGGAAGAGAAGCCCACAAGAAACATTCCACACCCTCTAATTCATTTCCCTTGCCCTGGTTGGGGCTGTTCCCATTATATGGCTCTCCTGTGGGATCTCTTAAAATTCCCATTTAAAGAGAACCTGTTACGCCCCATAGTGGTGCTGTCTACTATCTCCCAATTCTCAGATCTCAAGAGCTCCTTTATCATTTAATCCAAAGTCCCTCCCATTGCAGTTGAGAAGCATTGCCATCGTTCTCAGCAGATGACTGTACTCATCTGTAAAATGGGAATGAATGACAATATTATCAACCTCACAGAGCTGTGGCGAGGCTTAGATAGGATGACGCGCATAGTTAAGTGTCCAGTAATCTCTATCTATCATCCATTCAAGGGCAGGGACACCACTTTCTTTATTTTTATGTTCCTACAATCTAGCACAGCACCTGGCACACAATTTTTAAATGTTAGCACTTACTATTTTTAAAAATTTAACTTTAAGTTCCAGTATAGATGTGCAGGACTTGCCGATTTGTTACCTAGGTAAATACATGTGCCATAGTGGTTTGCTTACAAAAGGCACTTTGTTTTTTTCTTTTTTGAGACTGAGTCTCGCTCTGTCGCCCAGGCTGGAGTGCAGTGGCACGATCTCGGCTCACTGCAAGCTCCGCCTCCCGGGTTCACCCCATTCCCGAGTAACTCCCGAGCTTCCCGAGTAGCTGGGACTACAGGTGCCTGCCACCACACCCGGCTAATTTTTTGTATTTTCAGTAGAGACTGGGTTTCACCATGTTAGTCAGGATCGTCTCAATCTGCTGACCTCGCGATCCACCCGCCTTGGCCTCCCAAAGTGCTGGGATTACAGGCGTGAGCCACCCGTGCCTGGCCCAAAAGGCACTTTCTTAAGTTTCTGAAGCACCTCTTTCTGGGTTGCAGCTGCTGCTCAAACCATGTTCCTCCTCAGAGGGACATTTGAATAGGAGCCATCTCAAGGACCCCAAACTTCGGACACCTAAAGGCATCTGTGAGGTGGAACTGCAGGCAGAGTGACAACCAGGCTGAGGCTGACCCTGTCTGAGGGAAACACCTTCCAAGAGGTGTCAACTCACACTGCTCGCTAGCCTGGTACCAGCCTAAGAAAGGCAGAAAACTCTCAATGCACAGGACACCTGTGTGTGACTCTCAGGGCAAAATCCTGTGTAGAGAGGGAGAATTGAGTCTAGGTAATGGTAAACAGAATTCCTAAATAATTTTTAAAAACACATAAACATCTCATAAATTAGCTATTTTGTTGGTTTATAAATTTATAAGCTATTTATTTCCATAAATGATTTGAAGCCCCTCACAAAAAAATACACACAATACAAATACTTAAAATGATGGTAAAATAAAAATAAGGAGGAAAAGTCAGGAGCTGAGGAATGTAAGTAAATGTAGAAAGTCAGCATTTGGAGAAAGAACATAAATATATAGGTTATAAGGGCCTAGGTATTTCTAGAATGAATTTAAATTTGACTCTGAGATTCCTGGTGGCCAAAGTAAAATGTTTATTCCGCAACAGAATTATCACCATTAGAGAAGTTACATACAAGGTTTTTTGGGGAAAGCAAAACTCTTTCTAGTAATTTTTTTATTTCAATTACCACTTTACCACTTTTTATTTTGAAATAGTTTAAGACTGACAAGAAATTGCCAAAATAGTACAGAGAGTCCCTGTGTTCCCTTTACCCAGCTCCCCATAGTGAATATATCTTACATAACCATCCACAGTGAGCAAAACCAGGAATCCGACATGATTCAATACTGTTAACTCAAATATCACATTCATTTTGAAGAGAAGATTTAACACCCATCTAACACTTATTTGAAAGAGAAATTCCTATGAACTTTAGAAAGAAGTCCCTAAATGCATTCTAAGAACCATCCTTAAAACAAATAAAATAATGAACTTTTATAGTTTGAATTCAGGGCTGTTCAAATAACATGTCCAAAATGGAACCAAAAAAACCCAAACTATTACTTGGGTTTATTGCCGGGAGACTGGCTATTTGCCAACTGAGATAGGAAAGGAGTCTGGGGACAGAGAGGCCTGGGTTTGGAATTCCTGTGGGGGCAGTTTAATAGTTTACCAAAGTCAGTCCTGTCTGCTCCAAGAACAGAGCACAGCTATGCCTGCCAGCCATGCCTGGCTCCTTTCTCTGTCTCAGTTCATAGACTATGAGAATTGGAAACAACACAAGTGTGTGATATGCACACACATGTGCACATGCATGTGTGTGTGTGTGCGCGCATCTTTGCAGTAAGATGGTCAAAAGAACTTAGACTTCGGAATCAGATATCTTTAGATTTGAATGTTCACTCTGTTGCTTCCTAAGTTTCCTTGGGTAATTCACTCAATATTTATAGTATCAGTTTCCTCATTTGGAAGGTAAGGGTAACCATAATTACCCTTTAGGCCCATTGAGAGAATCAAAGAATAATAATAGGCACCCAATAGATAGTGACTGTTTTATAACCATCTTCCAAAAAGACACAAATGTAATTAGTATGAATGTTGTATTTATGATCATCTTTGCAAATTATAGCTATCTTTAAACAACTATTCTATAGTATAGTATGAGACATCTACTGAACTACTTTCAAGTTTGGGTTTCCCGACAGTTTCCACTTCAGAGCTTTTGGGAGAAATAAGTTTGATAAAGGGCTTAGCACAGTGCCTGGCATGGAGCAGGGTCTCCTTCAATGAAAGAAATTTGTATTTAACCTCTAGCTCTTTAAGATCACACTCCTTGCATATTACTCAAAGTAAGGAGATGTGAGAACTTCCATCTCTGCTAGTTAAATGGTGACTAGGGCACTCAAGTTCCTCTCTTTGATCTCACAGAACATTCTCTGCGGGGTGGCAGTCTCTCCTGGTAACTCAGGCTGGGGACACTGAGGCTCCACCACTTCCTAGCTGCGTAGATGACCCTGGGAAAGTTGTTTAGTTGCTGGGTACCTTGGTGTCCTCAGAATGGTAGCAGTAGGGCCCACTTTTTGAGGTTTGCTGCTGTGGCGATGAAATGATCTTTATAAAACAGCAAGAACAGTGGGTGGCACAGAGTGAGCACCACGTGTTTTCTGCCATTATTAACAGATGTCCCATTACTACAAGAGCCTCTCAGGCTCTTCCAGCCTTGAAAGTGTGTGTTCTTGATTCTTTGGGGGCTCATTCCTGCAGGAGGAGGAAGAAGGAAGTAGAAAAATCAGAACAGCAAGCATTTAAAAGAGAATTTCCTAGACTCCCCTTGCTCCAGGAATTTCTGGGTTTTATGAACATCTATAACTTCTGAGAGAGAGAGAAGATGGTGAACTGATGGATGCACAAGGAGTATGAGTGGATAAACTTAACAGGCTGCTAAGAGATGTTAAAGGCCAGATGAGTTCTTGAAAGCCATTACAAGGCTATGGGGGATGCCCCCTGCAAGCTGTGGAGGTTTGTCTTCTGATATCAGCTCAGAAAGAATCCTTCCCTTCTCTCAGGGAAAGAAGCTCACACAGCCTTCAAGACATAAACCGACAGCTGTGGTTTGTTCTGCAATTGCAGAACTGCCTGGAGACCAGAGCTAAAAATCACCATGGAAATAATCTGGTGTTTCAGGAGAGGACGAGCACGGGCTCTGAGTGGACCCAGCCTGAGGTTTGTGAGAAGGCCCAGCATCCACAACATGGCTTGGAGTGGGGAACTAAATATTATAACCCCAAATTTGACAAAGTCTTGTGTCTCAGGGCCTGTTAGATGCTTTTAAGAAGAACCAGGGATTGTTTTGTTTCAAGTGGGCTGGAGGGGGAGCCTGAGGATTGTGCAGACTGTGTAGCTCCCAGACACCAGTGGAAGGGAGGGATACCAACTACATGTACAGGTTTATGGCTGTCCATGGTCCTCATCCCAGGATGGGCTTCATCAGCCTGTGGGCAGCACAGTCATGCAGGGATGGGCAAATGGGATGAGTCCTCTCTATGCCCATAGTTCCAGGTGGCAGCACAGAACCAAGTAGGAGGGTATGGCAAGCAAATAGAGTCCCTGAGAGCAGCCAAACTGCACCTCCATTTAGCTTGATAAACTTGCTCAAAAATGTGTTAGTTCAGCTGATGTTATATCAAGTGGATAAAAGGCCAAGTTTTGGCATTGGATTCAAATCCCAGTCTGTCCTTATGGGACCTGGGCAAGTACCATAAGCTCTCTGAGAACTAGCCTTGCTTTCAACAGTCTCCAGATCAACAGACTCAATTATACTTCAGTCATTAATTCTCATTTCTCACAATCCTTTTGACTCCATTAATCCATCTTGAACATACAATTTACTTAAACTCATGTTGCTCATCTATCTGTAAAATGGGGTTATTGGAAGGATCAAATGAGTTAATACATTTGAAGTACTTATTCTTAGTAAGAGCCCAAAAAATGCTATTATTGATTCTTGCAAACCTCTCATGTGCCTGGATATCTCTCTAGCTTCAATTTCTTCATCTCAATAAAATAAGGATAACAAGTAGGGTTACTTTAAAGGGCTATGTAAGATGTTGTGTGCTTTGTCCACAGCAGGCTTTCAATAACTTGAAGCTGTTACTATTTCTCAGGTAGGAATGTGCTGACTGGCTTCTGGTATTGTCTGAACATGTCTCTGAGGATGTCCTTCAACACAGCAGAGGAACTGGGCTGGTATTCTGGGAATAACAATCACTGATATTTGTAGGATATTCCCATCCATTATCTCATTTACTCCTCATCTCAACCACTGGGGCTGGTGCATTGCCCAACACCAGTGGGTACCATGCCTAGAGATCACCATGCACTGGTGTCTCTAGAAGTTATGCAACATGGCGGTGCTGTTCACCTCATGGATGACAGGCAAAGGAGGCCAGGTGGGTGATTGGAGTTCGGCTAGATCCCCTGCTGGACCTAATCACCCTAGAACCCTGGCCTAACAGCAAAATGTTTCCTGTGATTCA